TGGCAAGAATTCCTGTGGAATTATTGGAAATAAATGTTATGAGGAGGAGGAGGAGTCTCAGAGCAGCTTACAATCTCCATCCCCTCCTCTCCCCAGAACAGACACCCTGTGAGCTAGGTGGGGCTGGGAGAGCTCTGAAAGAACTGCTCTTGAGAGAATAGCTCTGAGAGAACTTGGACTGGCCCAAGGTCACACAGTTGGCTTCATATGGAGGAGTGGACCAACAATAACTTTCTTCAAATACATTAGAAGCAGGAAACCAGCCAAGGAGGCAGTGGGGCCCTTGGATGACCAAGGGGTAAAAGGATTACTGAAGGATGATAGGGAAATGGCTGAGAAGCTGAATGCATTTTTTGCCCCTGTCTTCACTGTGGAAGATGAAAAGTGTTTAGCCACTCCAGAACCGCTGATTTCAGGAGGGGTGTTGAAAGACATGTGGACAAGGGGGACCCAATAGATGTCGTTAACCTTGACTTCCAGAAAGCTTTTGATACAAAGGCTCCTAAATAAGCTCAATAGTCATGGGATAAAAGGACAAGTCCTCTTGTGGATCAAAACTGGCTAATTGATAGGAAACAGAGTGCGTATAAATGGGCAATTTTCACAGTGGAGGGTGGTAAGCAGTGGGATACTGCAGAGATCATTACTGGGTCTGATGCTTTTTAACTTGTTCATTAATGATTTGGAGTCGGGAGTAAGCAGTGAAGTGGCTAAATCTGCAGATGACAAGAAATTGTTCAAGGCTGTTGAGTCCTGGGGAGTTATTTGTTCCAAGTGTTAACAGTAATTTCCCTTTCCATTCTGTTCCTGAAGTTCCTTTGTAATAAAACAGCTATTTTGAGGTCTTCCATTGAATGTCCTGTAAGGTTAAAGTGTTCTCCTACAGGTTTCTCAGTCTTGTGATTCCTGATGTCGGATATGCATCCATGCGTCCTCTGGCGCAGGGTTTGTCCTGTTTGTCCTATGTAGAGAACCAAAGGGCACTGTTGACATTTAATGGCATTTAATGACATTTAATACAATGTTAGAAGAATGTTAGAAATATGTATTCTCAGCAAGAAGGACTATAAATCCTCTGTATTTTAGTGTATTTGAATATATTTCTTTTGCAGAATCTCTCCTTATATATAATTGTGTTTTCGGGTGACTCTTTCCTGAATGTTCCACACGTTCCCAAATCAATTGGCTCCCTGACCTGTCACTCCGACGGTCTGCCAATCTATCGGCTGTGTTGCCGGAGTCCCGCCCACAGAAGCGGCGGCCAGCGTCTCGGCCTCAGTGTGGTGCGAGGCGACAGACACTCCAGCGGGTGGAGGCTGAGAAGGCTGAGGCTTGGGTCGCCATTGATTGCAACGCCTGTTCCTGCAGCGGCCGTTGAGGGGAGTGGGGCGTCAGCGTGCATGCGCAAGTCCCGGCACAGCAGCCGTCCGTGCCTCAGGTCTCCCCTCTGCCACAATGGACAAGCCCCCAGCCAAGCCGGGGCCCTACCTCATCGCTCCAAGCCAGGGAAACAAGGCTGAGCGCTGGCCCACCCCACCGGAGGGGAGCGGCAGGGAGGCACCGCTCAACCTCTTGGGCAGCTATGGGGCATGCGGCTGTCAAAGCGCCTTGCTGCCACCAGATGTCCCCGCCCGCCACCCCTCTCCCTGGTGAAGATGCCCCAGTGCCACATCCAGTCCCTCAGCCAGCCCCTTCCTCACCTATCGTCACGCCCCCCCTGCGAGCTGGGTGAGTTGGCAGTGGCCAGAGAAGGGCTGCCGTTTGGCGGGGAGCTCGCAGACAGCGTGGGGGGGGGGAGTCACTGGCAACTCTACACCAGATACGTGGCTTCAAGTCCAAGCTCTGCCCTGAAGAAGGTGGTGAGGGAGGAGGGTGAGGACGAGATCTTTCTAGAGCTCGCTGTATTGATTTTACAATGGGCTTCACTACTAGAAGTACATTATAATCCTGAACGTAGTGCAAGGGATATTGGGTTGTTTGAGGGGGATGTAGGGTCAAGTGCCCTCCGCGCCTGAGAGGAGAGAATGAAGATTCCCAGTCACTTCCCACAATTAGAAAAGACACCTTTAGACATTCATCTGCTAGTTTATATTTATTGCTTTACAACTGTTGACCTTATAAGCTTAACTTGTTATTTAGTCTTCACTTTGCATATCTTGAACATCATCATGTTACATGTTAATATGCTGTTCATTCTCTGGCTATAAGTTTGAATCTTCCCTCCCATTCTAATGTATTTGATAAAGTGTGCATGCACACGAAAGCTCATACCTTGAATAAACCTTTGTTGGTCTTAAAGGTGCCACTGGATTCTAAACAAATAAGCCATTGGACATAAAACAGAAGCAAACCATTTAAAAGCTGGTAAGATAAAACCCCTATTTAAAAGCCAGAGTAAAAAGATGTTTTGGGCCTGGTGCCTAAAAGAACGTAAAGTAGGCACTGGGCAAGCCCCAAGGGGGAGGGCATTCCAAAGGTGAGGTATCGCCAAAGAAAATGTCCTGTCTGTAGTTGCAATCCACCTCACCTCTGAAGGCTGGGGCACAGAGAGTAGAGCTTTAGAAGCAAATCTGAACTGGTAGGCTGGGTAGTATGGGAGACGACCCATGGGGTACCCTGGCCCCAGGGCATTAAAGATATGAACCAGAAGTCTGATTTGTGCTTGGAAATAGATGTGTGACCAGTACAGATCTTTCAGCACAGGACTGATATGACATCGAAGTTTCCAAACCACTTGCAAAGGCTGCGCCACACAGAATGCATTGCAGTAATCTATGTTAGATGTGATCGGAACATGGATCACTGTGGTGAGATCATGTTTTTTGAGGAACAGCTGCATCTGGCAAAATCAGCTGCAGCTGATAAAAGGTGTTACATGCCATGGAGGAGATCTGAGCCACCAATCATAGTGGAGTGTAACCCCCTCCAGGACAGGCTGACTCTGCAGTCCCCAAGCAGCTTCTCCACTGACCAACAGCATCACAGTCTTGACTGCACTGAGCTTCAGTATATTGGTTGTCATCCCTCCCAATGGGTTCCACCAGGTAAAGTATCTGCATTTCCATTAAGCTATTCAGTAGTCACCTGGCAAACAGCCCTTCTGTCTCCAGAACTTCACTCAGCCCTTTTGTGTGCACCTGTGTCTGTGTAAAAATCCTTTGTCTTCACAACTGTATTTCCTGCTCCTTCCCTCAGGATACCGAGATAAACCATCATACATTCAAATGTTTAGCGACACTTCCTGTCACTAATCAGGGACTCATCTATCACCTTTTGCCTATACTTGGGAACCCATTAAATCTGCCTTTGC